ATCCCAGCTCCCCCATCCCCATCCCAGCTCCATCACCCCTTCCCAGGCTGCTCCTCACTATTTCCCCCTCTTTCCTGCCCCAGCAATTTCCTAATCCTTTCATGCCAGAGCCAACCAGGAGAGAGGAAACCACTTCCCTCCCTTCAGGGCTTTTGGGGGCCTCGGGTGCCTCAAGTCAGGGTTTCTGGGGACCTCGTGTCCCTCTGGACGTGCAGCAGGCCCTGGCTCTGGGGATCTTTGCCCGGTGGTTTTTATCCTTCAGGAAATCCACTGGGCAGAAACAGGGAAGCTGTGCAGCCGGGGCTCCCCCAAACCAGTGTTAACTGGTGTCACTGGTGCTTCAGGACAGCTGGGAGGTGGAGCATGAGGGGTTTGGGATCTGGCAGGAACTCGGTGGGTGATTCCCAAGGTTTGTTTTTAAACCCTGGTGCCGAACGTGGCCTGCAGAGTCCTTGTGACTCTGCGGGTTTTCCTGGGAAAGCTCCTCCTTTTCCAGTGGAAAATGAAGCTGGGGCTCCTGTGGAGGAGCTGCAAGTGCCATCCAGGGGGTGGAAGGGGCTGGAGGTGGAACAGATCCCTCTGGATTTTCCTTCCCTATGTCCAGTCATGGGCAGGGAGAAAATAATTGTGGAATCAGCTCCCAAACTGCTCCTTTAATAGGGAATTGCCCCAAAGCCAGGGCTGCTTCTCCTGGAAATGTCCCTGCTGTGAAGGGAAGAAGGAGGCTGGAGCAAAGCGAAAATTTTCCCAGTGTTCCCCAAAGGATAGAGACCAAAAATACTACCTATATTTTAATTAACAATCTGTTTAATTGGAGCTCTGGGCACAAAACTGGTTCACGCCTTTCGGTCGCTGTTATTTCCCTGATGAAACGCTCCGGGTTTTGATCCCTGTTGATCTCTTGGAAAAAAAAGGAGATAAATCCCTGTTTTTCCCAAGGCTCGTTACGGTTCCCTGGAGCTTTAGAAACTCGCAGCCTTTGTCCCCAGAGGGGACACTCAGGACCTGTGGGGCTGTGGCTCCTTTTACCCACATTTCTGGCCGTGCTCGCGTCGCCGCGGCCGCTCCTCAATCCCCCTTTTCCTCCCCCACTCCATGGGATTTTGCACCAATTCCAATCTTTTCCCCACCCCATTTATTTATTTTTTCTTTTTCCACCCGGGAAATTCATTTTATTTTCCCTTCCACCTTGGAAATTCATTTTATTGATGCTCTTTTCCCAACCTGTGAATTTATTATTATGATGATGATCATTATTTTTTACACCCTGGAAAAACTGATTTAAATTTCCCCCCCCGACCCTGGGGATTTATTTGGTTCTTTACCTGCTGGTTTATTCATTTCCCTGACGGCTCCTCCTCCCCAGATGCCAAAGGGACAATCCGGGAGATCGTGCTCCCCAAGGGCCTGGACCTGGACAGGCCCAAGAGGACCCGAACATCCTTCACAGCAGAGCAGCTCTACCGCCTGGAGCTGGAGTTCCAGCGCTGCCAGTACGTGGTGGGCCGGGAAAGGACGGAGCTAGCGCGGCAGCTCAACCTCTCCGAGACCCAGGTAAGGCCTGGGGGGACATCTCTGGTGTTTGGGGGGGACATCTCTGTCCTCGTGGGGCGTCTTCTGGCGTGATTGCTTCTCTGTGGTGGGCGCAGGTTCTGTTGTGGTGGCTCCATCGTGGTGGGAGAGGTCTGTGTCGTGGTGGGAGAGGTCTGTGTTGTGGTGGGAGAGGTCTCTGTCGATCCCCCTTTTCCTCCCCCACTCCATGGGATTTTGCACCAATTCCAATCTTTTCCCCACCCCATTTATTTATTTTTTCTTTTTCCACCCGGGAAATTCATTTTATTTTCCCTTCCACCTTGGAAATTCATTTTATTGATGCTCTTTTCCCAACCTGTGAATTTATTATTATGATGATGATCATTATTTTTTACACCCTGGAAAAACTGATTTAAATTTCCCCCCCCGACCCTGGGGATTTATTTGGTTCTTTACCTGCTGGTTTATTCATTTCCCTGACGGCTCCTCCTCCCCAGATGCCAAAGGGACAATCCGGGAGATCGTGCTCCCCAAGGGCCTGGACCTGGACAGGCCCAAGAGGACCCGAACATCCTTCACAGCAGAGCAGCTCTACCGCCTGGAGCTGGAGTTCCAGCGCTGCCAGTACGTGGTGGGCCGGGAAAGGACGGAGCTAGCGCGGCAGCTCAACCTCTCCGAGACCCAGGTAAGGCCTGAGGGGACATCTCTGGTGTTTGGGGGGGACATCTCTGTCCTCGTGGGGCGTCTTCTGGCGTGATTGCTTCTCTGTGGTGGGCGCAGGTTCTGTTGTGGTGGCTCCATCGTGGTGGGAGAGGTCTGTGTCGTGGTGGGAGAGGTCTCTGTCCTGGTGGGAGAGGTCTCTGTCATGGTAGGGGGCTTCTGTGTCGTGGTGGGGACATCTCCATTGTCGTTGCTCCTCTGTATGGAGGACACTTGTTGTGGTGGCTCCATCATGGTAGGGGCATCTTCCTTGTTGTTGCTTCTCTGTAGAGGGGACGTGTCTGCCATGGTGGCTTCACTGTGGTGGGGACACCTTGGTTGTGGTGGCTCCATTGTGGTGGGGACATCTCCCTCCTTGTTGCTTTGCTGTGGTGGGGACACCTCTGTCGTGGTTCTGTCATGGTGGGGACATCTCTGTTGTGGTGGGGGTTTCTCTGCCATGGTGAGGACATCTCTGCCATGGTGAGGGCATCTCTGGCATGGTGGGGGACATCTCTGGCATGGGGGGGGACATCTCTGGCATGGGGGGGGGAAATCTCTGTGGTGGCAGCTCCTCCGTGGTGGGGCCACCTGCATTGTGGTGGGCCCTCTTCGGTGGGG